TCCCAGACATCAGCCCAATGATTCATCAGCACAAGGGCATGTCCAAACGCACAAATTAGTGGGATGAGCTCCTAGAACCCACTTTCTTCACTTCAAAAGATTCCATTGACTTCTTTACCTGCTGGAAGAGAACTGGGCATATTTTGGACTAAGTACCTTTTTAGAAGCACACAGAACAAGGGAAACAAAAGAGCTTTGGAGTCAGCTTGTCCTAGGCTTGTGCCCCCGCCAAGCACTATCAGCTCTGTTCCTCTGGACAAGAGTCCCTCTCTGAGCTCAGTTTCTTCATGAGTAAAAGCAGTCTAGTAATCATCCCTGTGTCACAGCTCAGCACAACAACATGTCAGGCAATTAGAGGCATGCACACAGTGCCAATGTATGTTGGACATGTACCAGACACTCTAACTCCTTTATAATATTTCTGTTATGCCCCCAGAGCCTCCAGGATAATTTCTTATACCCATGTGGAAGCTGCCTGCTGGCAAGCCCTGGGGCATGCTGAGCTGTGGCAGGTCCCTTCAAGGCAGGACTTGCCACAGCACCCCAGGCCCTGCTCTTAGATTGTGATACCTCTGTAGGTTTTAAAAAAATGCTACTTAAGGGATAAATTTTAAGGGACACTGGAACAAGAGAACTGGGTCCTAATTCAGTGAATGCCTTTTGGGCCCGATCCTGGCTACAGCTAGTGATGCCCTCCCACTAAGAGGGAGCAGGCAGTGCTGTGTTCCTGCCCAGGCCTGGGGAGGACCACTCCAGCCTGAGTCTGACCCACTGGGGTGAACATTAAGGCCCAGTGCCTCAGGGCTCCGGGTGACAGCTACTCAGTGCTCCCCAGTTTGCCACCCACTGCCCCCGCCATGCCATACTCTCCAGGAAAAGCCCCTCCTTCCACGTCTCTGCTCAGTGGCTCCCTGAGTGGGAGGGCTTGTCCATGACTACTGTCTGAGGGAGGGCCTGCCCTTCTCTGTGGAGAAGAGGCCATGGGTGTACCTTTTTTACAGACTTTCCTGAAGACCTCTGCCTTCTTTTGGACATCCTGTCATGACACTGTGATACAAGAGGAAGTATTTGGTTTTCCTTCCTGTTCTTGGCATAGAACTTCTAAAACCCTTGGAATTTCCTGACAGAGGTGAGAGAAGCATCTTTTGTTATTCATAATAAACCCCTTTTAACAATACTGGAGTTTATGCTAGTGAGGTGACTGGCAGTGTTCCCTAGAGAGCTTCAGGATGGGGGCTGAAGGCCGGAAAGAACGATGTGATCATAGGGTTGGTGGTAGAGTTACTCACCAGGGGCCAATGACTTAATCAATGGTACCTACATAATGGAACCTCCATAAAAACCCTAAACTATGAGTTTAGAGAGCTTCTGGATTGGTGAACACATCCATGTGCCAGGAGGGTGGGGCACCCCAACTTCACAGGGACAGAAGCTCCTGTGTACTCAGGACCCTTCCAGACCCTGCTCTTTGCACCTCTTCATGTGGCTATTCATCTGTGTCCTTATCTCTTTTATAAAAATCAGTACACATAAGTGTTTCCCTGAGTTCTATGAGCCATTCTAGCAAATTACTGAACCTGAGTAGGGAGTCGTGGGAACTTCTGATTTGTAGCCAACTTGGACAGAGGTCCCTCAGCATCCAATACTTGTATCTAAAGTGGGGGACAGTTTGCTAAGACTGAGCCCTGAAACTGTGGTGTCTGGGTTAATTCTGGGTAATGTCAGAATTAAGTTGTAGGACACCCAGCTGGTACCTAGAACACTGGAGAATTGGTCATTGGTGTGTGTATATATGTATTACCCAGGCTGGAGTGCAATGGTGCAATCTTGGCTCACTGCAACTTCTGCCTCCCAGGTTCACACGATTCTCCTGACTCGGTCTCCCGAGTAGCTGGGATCACAGGCACACATCACCACACCAGGATAATTTCTTATACTTTTAGTAGAGATGGGGTCTCAGTATGTTGGCCAGACTGGTCTCAAACTCCTGACCTTGTGATCCACCCACATTGGCCTCCCAAAGTGCTGGGATTATAGGCGTGACCCATCATGTCCAGCCAGAAACAGATATCTTAATAGTAGGTCCACTATATAAAAACTGTTCATACCTCTTCTGGTCGCTTAACCCATCCTGCCTTATAATGGTTATTGATGTCTATGTTCCCCACCCTATCCCCACCTCCAGCCCCAGCTAGGCTGGGAGCTTCCAGCAGGCAGGAATAGAGTCAAACTCCTCTTCAGCCCCAATGCCCTGCAAAGGCCTGGCACACAGGTGCTCCTGGGTAAACACAGGTGCTCCTGGGTAAACATCACGTTCTCCTGTGACGTGGGAAGGAATATGGGGGGTGGGGCAAGAGAGGTGACAGCCAATGCATTAATGTCCGAAAGCCCTCTCTGAGCTGACCAGTGCACATCCACTGAACTAAGAAGGGCACAGGTCAGGATTGCCGAGTGGCTGACCCACTCTGGGACTAGAGCTTATTCATCTCAGCAGCCAGAAAAGGCCAGTGTAGCTCCTCAAAACTGGAGTTCCCTAAGCCTCTGCCCACCAGAGTCAGGCACACTTACGTCCTCAGCTCTGCAGAAGCCCCAGTCACTCTGAATCAGAGTGGATGGAGGTGCTCAGTCAGCATCTCCCTGAGGACAGGTTGGCATGGAGCAGGTGCCAGTCAGGCCTCTGAATGTGATGGGCCATGGGATGAGCAGTGGCCTTGCTGTGATGAGTGTGAACTCCAGCCTGCCACTTTATAGCTTGTGACCCTGGACTAGACCTGTCCCTTGGTCCCCCAAGAGCCTCTATAACAGCACAGTCAGAAAGAACTTTTGGTGATAATGGAAATGTTCTGTGCCGTCCAATTTGGTGCCATTGGCCACAGTGACAACTGAGCTTGTGAAATGTGCCCAGTGTGACTGAATAACTAAATTTTCAATTTTATTTAATTTACATTTACACTTAAATAGCCATATGTGGCTAGCGGCTACTGTACTGGACAGCACAGTTTGCAGTGGAGATGATTCTGACTTCATGAGGGTGATGGTGAAGATTAAATGACATCCTACAGGCCAAGTGCCTAAGTATCTAAGACACCCTGGGCACTCAATAAATGCTAGTCTTCAGTGCTAATGCAGAATATACAGTGACTCAGGAAAGGTGCAATGAGGTTATTTTAAAAAGAAATTAAAAAGAAAAAAAAATTGGAGAACTTGGGAAGGATCCACTGAGCCCAGCAGTACCTCTGCTGTTCGCTGACTGCTCACTGCTGCCCCTGACCCATATGACTCTGTTGGGGGCCTAACTGAGCTTCAGGGATCCTCAGACCACAGTGTAGAAAAAGATGCAGGACTTTCTCCAGAACAAGCTCCCAGTAACACAAAAAATATAAGCCAGAGAAGCTTCAGGCAACAGTAATGACTTATGACAGGAAGGCTTATAAGTAATGACTTATAAGACTTTAGTGTACAAGTTTGTTTGTTAGAAAGGCTAACATCACCTTTAGGAGTATTTTTTTTTATAATGCAAATACTTTGTTTTGCCAGAAACAAAACCATCCATCACTGTTTCAGAAGCCATAAAAAGACCTATTTAGGGCCAGGCGTGGTGGCTCACGCCTGTAATCCCAGCACTTTGGGAGGCCGAGGCGGGTGGATCACGAGGTCAAGAGATCGAGACCATCCTGGTCAACATGGTGAAACCCCGTCTCTACTA